ATTTATAATATATATTATATATATATATATATATATATATATATATGTATATATAATATATATTATATATAATATATATAATATATATATATATAAATATATATAATATATATATATATTATACATATATATGTATATATATAATATTATATATATATATATATATATATGTATATATGTATGTAGGTATGTATGTATGACAACACACACACACACACACACACACACACAACACACACACACACACACACACACACACACACACACACACACACACACACACACACACACACACACACACACACCACACATGTATATATATATATATATATATATATATATATATATATATATATGTATATATATATACATTTAATATATTATATATATATTATATATATATAAATAAATAAATAAATATATATATAATATATATATATATATATATATATTATATATATATATATATATATATATGAGAATTCTGCAAGAATAAACAGTAAAAAGGATGGGGCGATAAACGAGGAAAAAGGGTAGGGGGGGGGGGACTGTTAGAGGGGAGGAGGGGGGGAGGGGATTCACAAGATAAATTCTCTTCGCTCTAATGACTGTCTTGCCCCGACAACAGGAGGAGTAAAAGGCAGCCATTAATTGTTAGACATTATAGCCTCTGCGGTTTCTCTCTTCCCCTTCTTCCTTCCCCTCACGTGCTGTTTCCTCCCTTTCCCCTTCCTCCTTCTCTCACCTATCTACTTCTCTTCCGTTTTTCTATTCCCCCACACCTCCTACTTCTCCTTCCTTCTTCCTATTACCCTCACCTCCTACTTCTCCTTCTTCTTTCTATTCCCTCACTTCCTACTTCTCCTTCCTTCTTTCTACCCCTCACCTCCTACTTCTTCCTTCTTCCTATCCCCCTCACCTCCTGCTTCTCCTTCCTTCTTCCTATTCCCCTCACCTCCTACTTCTCCTTCCTTCTTTCCTTCTTCCCCTCTTCCTCCTTCCTCCTTCCTTTCCCTCACTTACCTCCTCACCTCCTCCCTCTCCTCCTTCTTCTTCCTATCCCCCTCACCTCTGCTTCTCCTTCCTTCTTCCTTATTCCCCTCACCCCCTACGCCTCCCTACTTCTCCTTCTGTTCTCCCCTCACCTCCTGCTTCTCCTTCCTTCTTCCTATTCCCCTCACCCCCTACTTCTCCTTCCTTCTCCCCTCACCTCTGCTTCTCCTCTTCTTCCTATTCCTCACCTCTTACTTCTCCTTCTCTCCCTTCGCCTCCTGCTTCTCTTCCTTCTTCCTGTTCCCTTCTTCCTTTTCTACTCCCCTCACCACCTGCTTTCCTCCTCCCTCATCACCTCCTGCTTCCCCTCTTTCCCTTTCCTATTCCCTCACACTTCATTTCTCTCCTTTCCTCCTTCCTTCCTCCCCTCACCTACTATCCCTTCTTACTCCCTCTATCCTCCTACTTCCTCCCTCCTCCCTCTTCTTCCCCACACCCTCTTCTCCCTTTCCATCTCTAATTTTTCCTTCGCCCTTTTGTTTCTCTCTCTCCTTTTCCTTTGTTTTTTTGTTTGTTTTCTTCCTTTAAAAGCTGAGGAATTAATGATTTTTAATGGTCACTGATTATGGCTATAAACTGGTAATGTTAAGGGTAAAAATTATAAATAAAATAAATGACTAAGAGATTATATGATAAAGAAGATTAATTGATGATGATAAAGAGGTGATGATGATGTAATGATTATTATCACTGTCGCTAATGTTATTGCCATTATCAGTCTCATTGACATTATCATTACCTTAATCATCATTATTGTTATCATGATGATAATAACCTCGAGAGTAAGGTAAGTAATGATATCGAGAGTAAAATATGTAATAACCTCGAGAGTAAAATCAATAACACCGAGAGTAAGATAATTAATAACTTCGAAAAAATAACCTCCAGAGTAAAATCCCTAATAACCACGAGAGTAAATTAAGTAATAACCTCGAAAATTAAATCAATTAAAACCTCGAGAGTAAAGTAAATAATAGTATCGAGATTAAAATCAATAAAAACCTCGTGAGTAAAATGATAACGCCGAGAGTAAAATATGTAATAACCTCGAGATTAAGGTTAGTAATTATATCGAGAGTAAAATCAATAATAACACCCAGAATGAAATAAATAAAACATCTAGAGTAAAATAAGTAATAACCTCGAAAATAAAATCAATAATAACCTCCAGAGAGTAAAATAAATAATAATAGCGAGTGTAAAATAAATAATAGCGAGTGTAAATAAATAATAAGCAATCGATAATAAACTCGAGAATAAAAATCAATAAAACCTCCAGAGCAAAGTAAGTAATAATAGCAAAAGTAAAACAAGTAGTGTAAATAAGTAATAAGTAATCAATAATAACCTCGAGAATAAAATCAACAATAGCGTCTTCGAATATCGCTTGCCACACGCAAGGACACTATCACGCAAAGTCACGAAGATAGCAAAGAACAACGGGAGGCGGAGTTCGTTCGCGGTTCTGCTTTAGGATTTTCCTCCCGCTGCTTGGGGGCGAAAGGGAGAGACGCTACGAAGGAATGAAAAAAAGAAAAAAGGAAAAGAGAGAGAGAGAGAGAGGGAGGAGAGAGAGAGAGAGAGAGAGAGAGAGAGAGAGAGAGAGAGAGAGAGAGAGAGAGAGAGAGAGAGAGAGAGAGAGAGAGAGAGAGAGAGAGAGAGAGAAGAGAGAGGAAGAAGAGAGAGGAGAGAGAGAGGAGAGACGAGAGGGAGAGGGAGAGAGAGGGGGAGAGAAGAGAGAGAGAGAGAGAGAGAGAGAGAGAGAGAGAGAGAGAGAGAGAGAGAGAGAGAAGGTAGAAACAAAGAGAAATTGGCTCTTGATCAGATATTCATTATTGTTTGTGCTGTGTTTGTTGTCTGTCTGTGTTGTTTTGTTTTGTGTTACGTTCGCTTGTATTGTTGTGTACGGGATTGGGTGTAGTCATGCGGGCAGATGAAGGGTAGATATATGTCTGAATTTTGTGTCGACGATCTTCATGAACAAAGCACTTTCCTCTTCCTTGTTTCTCCTGTCCTTCTCCTCCTCTCGTCTCTTCTCCTCTCTCCTTCTCCCTCTTCGTTGCCTTTTACTGCATATATCTTCTCACCCTCCTCATCCCTCTCTTTCCCTTCCTTCTTCTCTTCTCTCTTCCCCATTCCTTCGCCATCACTCCACTCTCCTTTTCTACCCTTTCCTTCCCTCCTTTCCCCTCCCCCTCCCGTCGCCTTCTCCCTTCCCATTCCTCTAATCCCTTCCTCCCTCCTCATCCTTCTCTTCTCCTAACCTTTCCCCCTTCCTTACCCTCCGCTCCCCTCCCTTCCCTCCCTCTTCCTCCCTTCCCTCCCCATCCCTCCCTTCCCTCCCCCATCCGCTCATGCCTTCCGGTAATCCGCTCCTTCCCTCCCCATCCCTCCCTTCCTGCCTCTGGGAATGAATCAGCTTCCTGAAAGCATAATCAGGTCAAGGCTTCAATCATCAGATGAGCTTCAGTGGCAGATAGAAACGGAGAGAGGAGAGAGAGAGAGAGAGAGAGAGAGGAGAAGAGAGAGAGAGAGAAGAGAGAGAGAGAGAGAAAAGAGAGAGAGAGAGAGAGAGAGAGAGAGAGAGAGAGAGAGAGGCAGAAACAGAAGCAAACTGACAGACAGACAAGCATACAGACAAACATACAAACAGACAGACAGATAAACTGATACAAACAAGAAAAATATGAAAATAAAAAGAAGTTATACAAGCCCTTTACACTAGTTTAACTTTGTTATCGCATGATCTATATCAAGCTACAAGACTTATGGAGGAGAAAATACCATTGCAAAAATCTAGTCACTTGACATCCGGGTACATCTGGCGGGGGGGGGGGTCTGTAGGAGAGAGGGAGAGGGAAGAGGGGGATGGGTAAATTTTGTCTACTTATCTGTCTGTTGTTATATATCTCTAGCTAAGTAATTAAATGTAGTTGTATTTTGTTCCAGGTAACAACCACAGAGACTGATATAAACAAATGTTCATGCAGATTTTTTTCTATTGAAGAAAAAGAGAAAGACGAATGATCGAATATTTCGAAGGGACTAGGCTAAAGGTGATCGGAATTCATGAAGAATTAGGTAATATCACTTGATTATCATAGATATTATAAATTAATTGATTCGATGAGTTGAATCAGTCGAAAATATGTAACTAATTAAAGTTAGAAGCCGAAGAATATAGTTAAACACAGTTGTATTTTGATCAACATTATTAATTAATTAATCTTCTATTTCATCGAATCAGATATTATCATTAACACATCGTTATTAGAATGTATCATTATACAATCATTGTATGGCAAGAGAGGAGAAGAGAAGAAGAGAAAAGAGGAGAGAGAGAAGAA